ACGAGACGAAGAGATCGCCGTCGAGATCGCCGCCAACCGCCGCGGCACGCGCCGCCGCAAGGAAGCAGTCGCTGGAGTTTGTCGTCGCGCGTGAGAGCGCTGAGAAGGCCGATTTCCGATCGGTCAACGCCGTTGACTTCGCCGTGACGTCAGCTTTCTGGATTGGTCAAGTTTGTTCGATTTCGAGAAGATTTGATTTGCGGTCAACTGTTCGGGCCAGCCAGATCTACATAAATTTTAAGCAGTAAGTTTTCTTCATCAAACCTTTAGATCCGCTGCGCATAGGTTTATGTTGAATGTTTGTCCGTGATTTGTGCATATCGAGATCCTCGTGGGTTCCAACAGGTAATTGAAAAGATAAATCTTAATGCTTATCGTCTTCGTTTGCCTTCGCATATTCGTACGTCTGATGTGTTCAACGTCAAACATTTGGTCCCATTTGTAGGGGATAATTCTGAGGAGGATGAGACTGGTTCAGATTAGTGGCCGAATCCTCGTCAATGGGGGGAGAATGATGAGGACGAGACCGCATTAGCGTATTTGAATAAATACGACAGGCTCCGAGTTTGGTCTATTTATTTTTATTAGTTGCACTCTTTTATTTTTGGTATTTATTATTTTGGGTAGGCAAATAATTGCTTTGCAGTTGTTGGGCAAGAGTAGACTTCTTTATTTCCTTTTCTTATTTATATGTCATCTGAAGAATGAAAAGAACACTTTTGATGATTGAATAAAATTTCTGTTCGTTCGTTTATGAGAGAGCATCTCATTATCTGCCCATTTGTACTACGCTCTACATCAGTTACCTGCCCTAGGAGATGCCAGGATCAGCTGAGCTGGCTGCCCTAACTGCCTGGTCGTACGATCCATTACCTCCACTACCATGATGTCAAGAATGTGTCAGCATGGGGCCAGGATGTGTCAGAAACCGTTATCACTGTAGAACAACCATCATGCGCCGCGTGTCCTCTGCGCACATATCAAAGATTCCTTTGAAGGCTCCATGGTTTGACCATATTTGGGCAGGCCGTTGAGCTGCCTATATAGTACGAGGTGGTCGATCTTACGACTATTTGTAATCAACCACTCCTGCTTTTGAGCAGATCTGCTATAGAGCGGGAATTTGACGGATACTCCTCAATTCACGTATCTTGGATCTCTGTCCCTCATCGACCGACGTGTACTTCATTCGACCGGTCCTGCTGGTCTGATGTATCACTCTCTCATCCACCGGGCCGGTTCATGGTATAATATCCCATATAACTCATCATGTTTAAGATATAACTTTAATTGATAAAATTTAATTACTGGCAATTTAATTAATCAACTTCTAAAATTTGAAACTAATATCACTCAAATATTTATTATTATGTCGGAAATTAATCCATCAGCGGTGTTTGACATAATGATCCTTCTTGAGCTCATTTTGTGGGTGTCATCTACCTGTCTCTGGGACATGGTGATTGTAAATAATTTCATGGAACATCATGTAACCGCCATTACTTACCAAAATATTGAGTATGTCAACCTACCTGAATAGGTATCACCCATGATAAATCAAATAAGGAGGTGTCGACTATATATGTCCGTTTATTATCTTACACGTTAAGAGAACACAACAATTATTGAGGTGTAGATTATTTAATTGGTGAGTTATAATAAAATATTATCCTCATATAGGTCCATTCAATACATCTCGGATGTGGTAGTGTAATTCATTAGTCAAATACCAACTAATTCAAAGATCACACTGCAGTCTTTCACGACCTGAAGTTCAATTTGTATAGAATGTGAACCATTATTTATATTTACAAGGAACCGATAATATGATCTTACTTTTCTAGACCCGGAACCCTATTATTTACAATGTAAAATAAAGAAACAATTTTTGCATGAACATCCACTTGACTAATAACACGAAGCTCATGCAAAATGGAAGTGTTGAGTAACACAAAGCCCTGCTTTTATAGTATACTATAAAATATCAGAAACCAATATGTGATTGTCTTGTCACCACCTCACTACTTATATAAAGTGATCAAGAAATTTAATTCCTATGACGGTCTATTATCTAGGACACCCCTTGATCTTTGTATAAATCTAGTAGCCAATAAAGGTCAACGAGTAGCTCAATTATAATATTCACGAATAATAGAAAGTCCGATGCACTTAATGAATTTAACACGATCTGATTTGTTCTATCCGATGAATAAGTTGAGTCTATATAACGAGCAATCTTAGTCATGAGCACTGGAATTCTTTGAAAAGGGTTTTAAACTACTTGAAGTACACCCATAAGTACGAGCTAAAATACTCGAGATGCCAATATGTACTTAGAGGTATTGTGATGCAAGTTGGATATCAAATTTGGGAGATTCTCACTCCACGTGTGGATATATATA